CCCTCTCTTCCTCCCTCTCTCTCTCTCTCGGTCTCACCAGGATGTAAAATATTCACAGCTGCTGCTGCGGTCAGGTAGCACGGCCACAAGACTCTCTGAGCAAACAGAGGAGCTGTGAACGTGTGAAGCCGATGGTGTACGTTTCATTTGAGGTTCGACACAGGTCCGATAGATCCCGATGTAGTCAAAACAGAAACCGCATACTGAGCCTCGCCACATGCCTCAACAAACCAAGCTCTAACCAAACATACCCAAGTACAACACTGAAAAAATGACACTGCAAACAGCTTTTAGAAACATGTCAGGCGCACTGCAGAAATAGGAGAAACGATACGTGGCTTGGTGCCGCTGAACACAGTAACTGAGATATCACTGAGGTTTATAATCAGTGTGAAACATCTGTCTTGAATAAATGCCTCGCTTTTAAAGTCTAGCCTCGTTATGCATTACGGGCAAAGGCAAGAGCGCATTAAGTCATGTTAGAGTTGCAATAAAAATACATCAAGCTCTCTTCCAAGAGGTCTACACATGTTATATATGCGGACTCGATTCCAGGTTCTCTGAATGAAGAAGTGTACAAATTTGTGTCAGATATCCAAGTTCCAGTCCAGGTTTCCTTGTTCAAATATGGACTTAAATGAGATGTTTTACATCTCTGAAGCTGTCCCACCAAATAATAAAGACATCTTGGCCTGGGAATGCCAGCCCTTGAACTTTATGAGGGAGGGCGAAAGGGGGAAAAGAGGAGGGGTATCGGTGTCTTGAACACATTTCAAAGTAATTGTACTTGATATGTCGTTTAGAGAACACCCAAGTAATCATATAAACAAAAGACTAGATGCCCTGGGAGGATGAAAGGAAATCTGAATCTCCCACTGATGTATCATACTTACTCATTTTTTGACATGAGTGTGAGACGGCGAGGGATTCCTGAGCACAATAAGAGGATCGGGGACCTTTTTAGTAATAAACACAGTGGGATGGACGGACTCCGGTGGATTCCTTCATACTCACAAATTAACTTACACACACACACACAAAAACAGATGGCAGAGGGCTGAAAGTGATGGATGCAATGTACAAATTAGAACTGCTGCAGGCCCGGGGACAAGGAGACTGCATGTGTGCATGTGTGTGTGTTTGTTCTATGTTTGATCCTGCACCTCAGCCTTACCGAGGCATGACTTACGTTTAAAAAACTTTCCAAAAAATAAAAAGATGAATTTGAGGGAAAATCGCAGGACCCAGACAGCAACAACACGAGAGAACAAGTTAAAGAAAAAGTGAGGGAAAGCAAAAGAAGAATAAAGAAAACATGAGATCATAGTTAATTAGAATCAGGTGATAAACAATGGAGTGATATTTACGTTATACCATATGCCCCGCTACATGTGTCTTTCTGTCTCGAGGGATACAGTAACAGGTTTCAGACACGTAAGGTCAAGAGGAGGCTTTTCCCAGCTGCTAGACCACACTGATGCACACACACGCCCCTGCTCAGCCGCCCAAGTGTGTCGTCCATTTCTAAAGCCTGTTTTGTCTTTGTTGTTATTACATAAAAGACAGTGTTTATCCTCCAGGAAGCCATGTTTGCCATATGTACTTGTAAGGCAGAAGATTTTGCAGCGAGAAACGAAAACCCCTGAGCCAATCAGGCAGGTTGTCTCCTGGGCTTCACTTCAAAATCCTAATCTCTTACAGATTCCCGATTCACGCCTTGGATTTAAAAGCCCTCCAGTGGCTTACTCTTGTTTGTTACAAACCCTCATTATTTTGGCAGACTCCAGTCAAGTATTGTCTCACTTAGTCATGAAATGCTGCGCTTCTTGATCTCTGAAATATTGACTTCAAAAAGCATCTCATGATGGATTCGTCAGCTGTGAAGCTTTCGACATCAAACTGTTTAATCACTGAAAGCTCCAGCCATGTAAAGTCCACAGAGCACCATGTTTATCTTACTATGATACACCAAAACTCTCTGCCCAGAAACTCCTCCTACACTCACACAGGAAGCTCAGAAACCAACCCTGGCATAAACACTTTATTGCCAAAAGTACTCAATCACCCATCCAAATGATTGAATTCAGGTGTACCAATCACTTCCACAGAACAGGTGTATAAAATAAAGCACCTGGGCATGCTGACTGCTTCTACAGACATTTGTGAAAGACTGGGCCGCTCTAAGGAGCTCGGTGAATTCCAGTGTGACACCTGTGCAACAAGTCCTGTCATAAAGTTTCCTCACTACTAAATATTCCACAGTCAACTGTAAGTGGTGTTGTAACAAAGAGTAAGCAGTTGGGAACAACAGCAACTCAGTCACAAAGCAGGGTCAGCACATAGCATGCAGAGGTCACACATCTCTGCAGAGTCAATCTCTAAAGACCTCCAAACTTCATGTGGCCTTCAGATTATCTTAAGAACAGTGCATAGAGAGCTTCATGGAATGGGTTATCATGGCAGAGGTGCTGCATCCAAGCCTAACATCACTAATCGTAATGGAAAGCATTGGATGTAGTGGTGTAAAGCACACCTCCACTGGAGTCTAGCGTGGTGGAGATGTGTTCTCTGGTGTGACAAATCACTTTTCTCTGTCAGGCAATCTGATGGAGGAGTCTGCGTTTGGCCATTGCCAGCAAAACAGTACTTGTCTGACTGCATTGTGCCAAGTGTCAAGTTTGGTGGAGGGGGGATTATGGTGGGGGGTTGGTTTTCAGGAGTTGGACTCGCCCCCTTAGATCCAGTAAAATGAATTCTTAATGCTTTTACATATCAAGATATTTTGGACATAAAAACATGCATGGGCAAGTTTGGTGCGGAAGGACTTGACTGGCCTGCACAGAGTCCTGAGCTCAACCTGATAGAACTACTTTGGGATGAATTAGAGCAGAGACTACGAGCCAGGCGTTCTCGTCCAAAATAGCTTTTGGAAGAATCAAAAGATCCCTTAAATGCACTCCTGAACCTTTTGGAACAGCCCGTTCTCACTCCCGAGGCGTAACATGTTGACGTTTTGTCACGTCCCGCGGCGTTCCTGAGGAACGCGAAAGGAGACCTTCGGCGTTCTTATGGTACGCGGCGGGTTATGGCTGGAATCCAGTGCAATGACGCTCCTGCGGTAATAGACATTCCAGCCCTGTATTCCAGCCCTAAACCTAACCTTATTCCTGATCTTAACCAGGACTATAATGATGTTAAATAGCGTGTTTCTAAGCAATTTGAAGAAAAAGAGCGAACATGTGTAGATTCAGTCCAGACGGTTCTCATATTTCCTCTTTTTTCTGAGGTCGTCATTTAGGAACGTGGTGGGTAGCCGAAAACGTAATATGTTGACGATTTGTCGCCTAGCGTAAAATGTTACGCTTTGGGAGTGAGAACGTTGTTTGGAAAGAATAGTTGAAATTATGCAATGTTCACATGTGTGAATAAAGACTTTCGCAAAATAACGTAGGTACTGAACACCTGAAAGCCATTATGTTGCCTGGTAATCACCTTGCAACCGCTGAAAATCCCAAGATTTTAGGATTTATGCACCTCAGAAAACATTATAGCATCTATTTAAATTACACAATAATATCTCATTTATATAAAAACTGTTGAATATTAAGATATCTGTGATATGACACCACCATGTGACTGACTGATTAAAATCCAATTATATAGTAGCTAGTATATGAGAAGCTTACTGTCTGATAAATAGCTGTGGAAATGAAAGTGGGATTTGTAGTTAATTAATTCAGCCTACAAAATCACCCTTTTTCCCTAGCATATCATTATATAAACATTTTTTTAGGTACATGTTTTTAAAATATGCAGGTAGCCCATAAGGCACGTATGGAAACATAATATAATTAAAAAGTTATTACATCTTCTTGTGTTATATGGGTATAAAATTAATAGAACGATATCAAGCATACCAATTATTTTTTATTAATGAGAGTGGACAGTGAATGGTTTAATAATCCCTTAATTATATATAGAAGTAATTTGATTTTGCTGTATAGAAATATGCAAACAACAGCTACCCAATCTAGTTTTTGGAATTTTCTCAGTGTTATGAAGTATATCAGTTATCCAATAGCATGGGCAGGCCAAATAATACTCTAGCATGGTCATGCACTGGTTTATAAAATGCATAATTTATTTGAACTCACTGACTTTCATCTATAAAATTTGTTTTAGTCTTGCAAAAGTACATAAAAGTCTCTGTCTGCAAACACAATCATGGGTTCAGCAAACATATTAGGCCCCAGAAGTGTCTTAATTGCATCAGCCATTATCATGTCTAAGAAACCTCCCACCAATGGGCTAAAATCACCTACTTGTACCCGTTATACACCTAGAACATTGTATCATTTTATTTTGATAACTATACAATTGAATTTTTATTCCCACAACTTCAATTTTACGTTCTTATCTGTATCACAAACTGTATTGTGACGTCATCCTGTTGCCTATCAGCCACTTATTAACTCACTAAAATGACCTAATTGTAATGTTTATGTGCCTAGAATATCTTATAAAAGCATTGTACCATGTGTTTTTACAGCAATAACAATTTATAGAAACAAAACTTGATTATGATTTATGACTCCGTCATGTTGCCTGGCAAAAATCCAACTAAAGACATTTATGTGTTATTTATTGTGTTATATTAGAGCTGAACCTGAGCTTTGCCGACCTAAAAACTTATTATTTACTATTCAAACAGTGCCACTTAAACTTAAACACTCAAAGTGATTAATTGTATAGGCTTGCTAACAACATGAACAGACCAAATGATATTGTAGCTTTCATGGTTAGTAATAATGAGCTAATATATATGTTACAGCAATGGGCTGCATCAGTCAAAATTCAATCATATCCTTTACGTTTGCATTTATTTTTATGTTTTGTTGTGTATTTTGCAAAAGAACAAACAATAATCACACGCTGAAAATAAAAATAACCAAAGTCAGTCAGACAGGTTAAAGACAAATATATTCTTTGTATTTATTCAGGTTTAAATGTATAGTATTCAAAGAGAAGCATACATGGTAAAAAAAAAAAAAAAAGACTTTCTTTTTTGTATTTTTGTAGGGTTTTTTTGTTAAATATTACACAAAATAAATAAATTCAAAGAAGAAACATGATAGTTTTAGACTTGCTGCTGTGTTGGTACTTGACTAAACACAACACAACCTTTTTTTCATTTTCCTCCACCCATCTCATCTTTTCTTCTTCTTCTATCAGTCAGCTTTCTGCTAATACTTCCTCTGCCTTCCCCTGTTTTCCTCCATGTTTTCTCTTTTGCCATTTCTTCCCCAGTCACTGACTTCACACGTACACAAATCTAAAAATGTGAGTTACCGTTTCACATTTTGGCACAGAAGTCATTTCTTTTCATAATTTTACCGTGCCAGTGTACTTTATAACTTAAAACAGAAAATAATATGTACATTGTATAGCGATATATCTTATTTCTTTCTTTAAAAATAGAAATGTCTTTATCCAACTGTGATAAAATGTCTGTTTGTTTCCTTTCTTTTCCTCCTCAGTGCATCATACTGTTCAGACTTGAATCTGTCCAATGAAGCCATCACTTCAACTCCAAAAAACGTCCAATAGCCTTTAATCTGCAGAGCTCTCCCTTTGCTGATTTGTCCAGTCATCGCTGTTCTGACAAAATAGGCAGGAAGTGAGTGGCTGGGTTTTTCCTTCGTGTCTTCCTTCCTTTCATTGGCTTTCCCTTGGGGTTCAGTGCAACAAACATGCGCTTGTCCTTGTTGAGCCACTGAGCTGAAGCGTAGGTGTTATACTTGTTTTCCTCGATGCGTTCAATTAGACGGCAGTCTGGGCCGTACTCTCTCTGTGGAGGAGAAGCAAAGAGTTTAAAAGAGCTGAAGAAAAAGATAATAATTTATATTTAAAGTAAATTAGTACAGGTTGCCTTTTTAAGATTTTCTCCATTGATGAAAACCACCTCTAGCAGGTAGCCAGTGGCTTGAAACTTCCCACTGTACCACATGTGTAAGTTCTCAGTCATGGTTAGTTTTTACTCAAAAATAGTAACTGTTTTTTTGTTACCTGGAGATAGTTCTTGTGACAACATCCAATAACAAATGGTCAGCCATTGCTTAAGAACAATCCCCAGCGTAATTTTAAAAAGTCAGACGTAAAACTTGAATAGTTGTCAGTGTTGTTTGTGTGTCAGTAGTTTGGATGGCTGTGTGGTGGTGGGATGAGGGCAGAGAAGTTATTGTGACTTCTCGATGGTTCGGGCTTAGTGCCGAGCAAAGAGCATTGTGACACAAAGTTTGTGGCTTACATTACCGCAATGGCCACCCACTGGTAAATGAAGAGAAAATGATCTGAGAGCTGCATTTGTCAGTTTACTGGAAGCTGCCCTTGTGCTTAAGGCTAACAGCGCTTAAACAGCCAGTTAAATGGATGCAATTGATATTCGCAAGCAAAAATGTACTTGCTACACACACACACACAAACACACTCTAATAGCCAATATCTCTCCTTCACGCGCTCTCTCTCTCTCCACCACAGCTGTTCAAAATGGTTCCAGAAGAAAAGCTGAGTGTTCCCAGAGCAAAATGAAAATATTTTACGAACGCTATGCAGCTTTTTAAACTACGCTGGTACAAGGTACAATTAAATATCGCGTGAGTGCATGATTAGGAATATAAGCCTGTTCATGGTCAAATGGTTAAAAAACGTAAGTAGTAAATCGGTAAGCTTTAAGATGAGGACATGTTCAAAGGCTAAGGTTAGAGTTAGGCAAGTAGCAGCTATAGTTAAGGATCGATTGAGTTTCAAAATAATGGTGTTAATAGGCAAAAGAATCGTTGTAGTAAGTACAGAAATGAACTTAAAAGTAGTAAAAGTTAAAGGTGATCATAACCTGCGGTGTCACCTATGTGCTTTAATCTGCCAATACAATGAAACAATGAATTCAATTGATTAGCACCAGATAAAGAAGTCACTGTGTAAAACCATCAAGTGTAATCGAATGCCGGCCCTTCGCCGCTCCGCTACTAGGGCTTGTGTTGTGCTGTGGAGAAGACGTCATGGGAATTCAGTTGGAGGCCATGCAACAAAATGCCTCTTTTTATTTTCTGTCTTTTCTACCGTGTGTCATTTCATCTGTTGTGTGGCTCCTCAGAGACATGCTGAAAATCAGGTCTTTCAAAGTAGGGAAAAGAGGGGGGTGGGGGAGGCAGAATCGAATGAAGGAAAGAAGGGTGAGTGAGAGAGGACAGATAAAACGAGGGCTGCTCTACCCAGAGAGACTGAAGCAGAACAGAGAAACTGAAGGATTGTGTTTCCTGTTTCTGAATGGAGTGGAGAGGAGAGGTAGGCAGGAGAGGTAGAACTGTGGTTCCTATTTCTGGAACAGTGAGTCGTACAGCCTTGTCCATTGTTTTATAAAGAATTCAAGAAACTTCAAAGCCACAGAACCACCACTTTAGAGGGAAAACGTCCTTTTACCAATTTTTTTTTCACTATCATCATCAGTCAAATTTAGCAATCGCAAAAGTGCAGAAGTGCGTTTGCAAAGAGTGGAGAAGATTTTGAACTAACAAGCCGCAAATCTCTTAAAGTGGACCTTATTTTCTGTCATAGACTAAGGGTGACCAAAAATTTCAATTAATAAATTTGATGTTTGTGCAAGTAATCTGTTCAACAAGTTTATTATTTAAGCTCTCAAGCTTAAATAGGTTAAAGTGATTGAGTTCTTGAGAAACTGTGGTTAAGAATTTAATCCAAACCAAGATATTAGCTTCATTATTCAAAGAAGAATACGGAGCTTCTCTGAAAAGAGAGGCACCCACTGGACTACAGAGCTGCATAGGACTCTTTGTACAATACTCAGTTTCAGAGGGTATATTAAAAGGGTCTTCTCACCCATCTCCACCCACCTGCTGTTTAAACCCTATGTTTGTTAGGAACAATCAATCAAGAATAAAGCTATCCTCTTAGACTTAGAGAATAATGCATATTAAATAAAAATGACAGGTCAGAGAGTTAAACAGCGCTAAAACTTACCGCTCCATACAGAACGCCATTCTTCTTGATTGCCAGGTAGTGGTTACTTTTGAGGCCCTTGATGGCCACCACACCCACATCCACTGATTTGATCTCCAAAACACCTGGTGGAGCAGGGACAGGGAGACAAATAGGGAGTCAACTTTTGTGTGGGTCATTTACTCAGATAGAGTTACATTCTTACAACCACATATTTTTCTATTTATAGTCTGGAACAGGACCCTGAACAGGTTCCAGTTTCCTTTGATGATTTATTTACTTTTCATTCTGTCTGTCTCTAAAAGTAAAAGTTTTTCATTACATTACATTTACATGCATATGTATGTCTGACAACTTAAATGACTTTAATGATAAAGTAATTACTTTGGAATATAGCTCAAAGTTTCCCGTCACTCTTCATGCAAGTGTTAATGTTGTAATGGAGAGACTGCATCAAAAAGCAGAAAAATAGGTGTTTGACACGATTACTATCACTTTAAAGTGTGGGGAGATGCATTTTTATCTGCATGCCTCTTAATGCTGCTATAACATATCTATATTTTTGTTAATTTCAGGGTCTCCTGCACTCTTTTTTTTTTATTTCATATTTTCCCACAAGTGAACCCCAGTCTTGTCCCCCTCCCTTTCTTTTTCCTTCACTGTGTGACAGTCAGCCCGGCCTCTTACCCCTGGTTAGCTTGTGGGCTGTATGCTCTGGGACCAAGGTGTTAGCCAGGAAAAAACATTTCTGCGCTCTATGTTTGTTTTTCTGACCAGAGGAGCACAGGCAGGCTGGACGGAGCAAGGCTTTCTGCCTGCCAGACTGGCAAGAGGTCAACGCGTTTGTATCAGTTTTCAAGCCTGAACCAATTACTGATTTAAGCTGTGGTTACCAGCCCTTCCTTCTCTCATCCTAAAGCCAGTTACAGCGGGCCATAAAGTAATCAGGAGATGAGGTGATTAGCTGAGGGGGGTAGTAGGAAGTGGAGGCTGGTTGCAGGAATGCTTTAGACAGAAAAGAGACTTGGATATTCACCTGATCTTTAGTAATTTAGTAAATGAACAAAAAATTAAAATGCAAATTTTCACGTGTCCCCAAAATCTGGTTGTGAGACACTTAAAAAATATTCAGTGTATCTCAACTGCCTCGAACAGTAGCTGCCTTTTTACCAGACGACCCTTCACTGCCCTTAACCCTCTTCTCTTGTACTCAGACGGAGATTTGCAACTTCCTGCAGGCTTTTGAGTTTTATGAAGGTCAGGCCTGAGGAGATTTATGGGGATATGTGAGCCTCCAGCTCAGAATGATACAAAATCTATATAAAGAATATGTCTTTCACTGACTACGCTGCGTCGCCTAGTTTGTCTTTGTTGTCACTGGACAAGGATTTGGAGAATGTTTGTGATTTTTTTTAATGACTTGTGGCCTCGTGTTAAATGTTGTGGCTGATGCATTTATCCCTCATGTGGTCGATTTCAAGAACTTTGAGAAGAGTTTCGCAGCTCCACGGTGCGTCATGCAGGCTTGCTGTGTGAAGTCCATTACTCACACAGGCATGTGCTGCAACACAGCGCTGATCTATCAGGTTCAAAATGTTCCAGCTGACATTTCTGAGCTGTGATCCATTAAAAAAAAAAGGGATCTGTCTGTGCTGCGCTACAGGCTGGTCCACCTGTTCAAACCTTCCTCCTTCCATTTGATGTGGTTTGTCTAAACCAAAAGCACAGGGCTCTTTTATGGCCCCTGCGCCAGTTACCAGAAGCAGCCCGCCTGCCTGTGAGTGAAAAAGCCTGGCTGCAACAAAAGGCTTAAATTGCAGCAACAACAGTTGGCAGTAATGCAGGGAGATGGAGAAAAACAGGACCTGAGCTTGTGTCAGGCTAACGTTAACCTGCTGCCCTTAAAGCTGCATTTTATTATTTTACTCTCTCACTCAACACCTTGTCTTTTTTGGTGTCTTGTTAATGTGTAATTTTTATTTTTTCTGCTTCCCCCCCCCCTCTCTGCTGTTTCCCTCCCTGTGTCCCTTGGATTTCAGCCCAACATCTTTATGAATTATGTTTTAAGTGCAAAGGGGGAGTTTTATGATCTGGCACTGAAAGCAAAAAAAGAAGGGAAAAAAAGCACAAAGTTTACTTAATTTAAAAGGCATGGTCATTTGCTGCTATCAACATTATTTAAAGAACTACCAAAGGCAAACACGTGTGTGTAACAGGGCAACATTTCAACTTTCATAAGAGCGAGCCAAAATGGTCTCTGCTTGTCAAGCTGTAACTGACAGAGCTGGAAGTTCAAATAAACACAGCCCAGCCGTCTAACAAGGAAGAAACTGTTCATTAACGACTCCATAATGACCTTAACGATATTTAATTATCAGATTTTTATTTTTTTTAAAGCCAAATCTGAGCTCACGAGAGCAGGTTTCGTGCATTTTAGGACTTAATGATTGCTATTCATAGTAGCGGTTTGGATCGTAACTGATTGAGATTTTTGGTGTAATCGATTGTTATACTTGTTGTTACAATGATCTACGCAGTCTCTCTGACTTACAGGCAAGAGAATTTCTCAACCAGATTTCTATTTAAATTTGGCACCAATTTCAACCGGATTTACAAAGCAAAAGAAAAACCCTAGTGGACCGACTATAAATCAGCCACCAACCGACTGATGATAAAGGTGCTATGACATAAGTGGAACAGGAACGAGCAAAGAATTAATTCAAAGCTTAATTTAGCTTTTGCATTATTTCACATACAGGTCAGCAGTCACACCGAGCTTGTCTGTTTGCCAGTTAAGCGAAAACTGTAATAATGTACTGACGTCACAGGATAAAGTCACTGGATGTATGACGGTGTTTACTTTTTAAGGCAAAATACTTTTGAAATCAAACAATTTAAAAACAACTTCTTTGCAGAGAGACCTATGAAACCTGAACTCTGCTAAATACTTAGTACTTATATGTTAATACTTACTTACTGACTAAGCAGCACAACAGGACTCACTCTTGCATTACAAAGTCAACATTCCAGTGAGCAGTGTAACCAAGTGCAATAAAACTCAGCTGTTTTATTTTATAATTGTACTGAATTATATCATAGTCATGTGTGTTAATTATGCAGGAACCACCAGGACTGCTACAAATTTCATTGTAATTTGTTCAACAGATGTGAAAATAAATGTACTCTAATGTAAAGATTAAGCGTCAGCCTGGGATGTACACTCTTCTATGATCATTCTAGCTCATGCAAATCAGCACAGTCACACAAATATTAAAAAGACACACTCTCACACAGGAGCGCGCACATTCGCAGACCTCACACCGACCCCTGTTAGGCCCCTTTCTGGAAACGTGGTCAGTTAGACTCCAGCTGATCCCAAAGGTTAGAGGAGGTTGTGAAAATGTTTCCACTGTTTATCCAGGGGCTTTTTGAAGATTATACTGCAGTTGTTCACATTGTGACCTCGACACGGTGACCAGCTGTGAGCGGGTCTACTGCGTGTCTACAGCTCGGAGAGGTCTTGCTCCTCGTTGTGAAATATCATCACTTGCGGAGCAGTTTGTGTCGTGAACTCCACTCCGCGAGCAGAGTGAAAACGGTTTTTGTTCTTTTATTCTGCGTCCAGTGCTCTGCTATGAACCTCTGACTTCACTATTTTTATTTCAGCAGTGACTGATTTCTCTCACCCTTTTTGAGATAAATGTGACATCCAAGAAACAAAATTCTCATGAAGACAAAAAGGACCCTATTATGTATTTCTCTTAAAAAAAATTTAATAGGAACCTTTCATGCGTTGAGGTCTAAACAGTAAGATCATTTTTCTCTTTGAAACAAGCAGCATAGTGACTGACGACATTTCATATTCACAGTGACATGAGAGTTTATATCCAGGCAACCACCAAAGACTCCAAAGCAAAGAAAATCCAGTGGGAACACATGCAAAGGAATAGAAGAATTCAACAAGGGGGGAAATGGACCACCAAATCAGATACGAATTGCTCTATCTGGTCACATAAATAGAGAAAATGTCTTTTTAATTTGTCTCGGCCTTTGAGGCCACAGTTTTATCAGGATTAAACAATTTTGTTAGCGTTATTTATTTCTCGGAGTTTGAGCGGACTATTTCCGTTTCTTTATGAAGTCCAAAAGAGAACAAACATCTCTCGGTTGTGCAGATTGCTTGGTGAGAGCTTGTGGAGATGTTGGGCTTGAACAGAAACTGCTGCATGCTGTGTATTTTGGGGAGCACTGAGGTATTTGTTTAGACTGATGTGGCTGACAGCAGTATCTTCTTGTGCTAAGTGGCCACATCAAAGCACGCCTAGCTGATGGATTACATGAAAGAGGGAACAGAGGGCTGTTTCTGATTTCCAATATGGCCAGAATTTTTCTACAAATACAAGTTTTTTTTGTAAATTGATTTCTTTTCATATTGTGTTCTGCACATATTTGATTTGCTGTGTAAAAATCATGTTAAATAAATTATGTTTGGCCTTTGTGAATTACATTTAATGTGTTTTTTCTCAGTTCATTTCATTTTCTTTTTAGCCCGCACTCACCATATCAGCTTACTCTTTCCCGGGCAATGGTTTTATATCCTTTCCTGACTGATGCACTCACATCAAAATTTACAGAAATGAGCAAAACTGCACGCTGTTAAACCTTCATCTGAAGTCATTGGCCTTGGGGTGATCGCGTGGGAGAAAAAAAATTAGAAAGCCAACAGTCTAGGCGAGAGATAACATGAAATTTGCAATCACTTGCAATCACTCACGCTTAAGAGCAGTCAGGAGGAATTTGCAGTGGTGTTAACCGGGATTTGATTGAGTGGAGAAACACCTGAGAAATTGTGATTCCTTAAACGCGGTTTACTTTGTAACATGATAGAGCGCGCGTGCTGCCAGCTTCTGTCAAAAACCATTCACAAGCCTGACACAGCAGGAGTCGTGTTTTCAGGCAGAGTGCTGTGATGGTCGTCTGCATTTCACACATTTTTCATTTACAGTTCAGCTGTCAGTGCGGTGTTGCCCAACTGTTGTGGCTAGAGTTGTTGCTGAGGGACTCTTAGCTTTTAGAGATCTTCTTATATTACACCACAAGTATTACCCACAATATCATTCAGCTC